ATGTCTGTGTATTTACTCTGATCTACTTGAACCAGGAATGACAAGCAGTATAAGTGTTTCATTGTTACTATTAGTTTTTTTTTTTTTTTTAAAGAGCACGTTGATGCCTGGAGTTCTGGAGACTAGGATAGACTAGCATTAACTGGACTTTTCTTCCCATTTTCCCCTTAGCATAAATGGCCTCTTTTGTGACTAACTGATAGTCATGGCCTGAAGAATGTGCTCTTGTGTGTTTCTATGAAGTACACAGACTATCAGGTTCTTTCCTTTCTACCTCTGTAGCACAGGGCTAGTGTTAACTTATTAGAAATCAGTTCTTTTTTTTTTTTTTTTTTTTGGTTTTTTCGAGACAGGGTTTCTCTGTGGTTTTGGAGCCTGTCCTGGAACTAGCTCTTGTAGACCAGGCTGGTCTCGAACTCACAGAGATCCGCCTGCCTCTGCCTCCCGAGTGCTGGGATTAAAGGCGTGCGCCACCACCGCCCGGCCAGAAATCAGTTCTTTTATAGGCAAATGATGATCTAGCTGGGTCATCAGAGATAATTTTATTCAACTTCTAAATGTTACAAAAGATATCAAAACTCAATAAACATTAAAGATCTGAACTGCTAACTTTGATCTATGTTATAGTCTCTAGCTCAGATTCCCATAGGCACACTGCACACCCAGTGTGAAAAAGGTTGCTTCTAAAGTCTACAAGGTCATATCAATGAACCAACATTACAATTTGCTTTATAGCCACCAGAAAAGCCCTTATGGGTAAAGAGCTTTTTACTTTCCCTATAGATACCATCATTCTACAGACTTGTTCATGGAAGTCTGTAAACACGGCTTCATCTCCAGTCCCACTTTCTTAAGGCTCAGAAACACCAGTTATGGTCCCACCTTTTGGAGATTTTGGTGAGATTCTGAATGTAGAGCTGAGTAGTTCCTCCTTTAAAGATATATACTATTACTTTTCTCTTTAAACCTGAATCTTAGTTTGTAATGCTTGTACAACTTGTTTGATTATATCCTACTGAAATAAAAATTATTCTACAAAATCACATAATAGGAAAGGGTAGTTAAATTTGATTAGTAAACACTGATGGATTTAGTATAAAAAAATTCTGAAACTGGGTGAGTGACTCCTAAAAGCATACTCTATTACCTAGGGAAAATTAACTAAGATTGGTAAGTTATGATGCAATAATCATTTCTTTCTTTATTAAGTCAACCCGTACAAATAGGGAACCCAGGCTCAATTTCACAGCAGCTACTTCTCCCATAGGGAGACTTCCAGACACTTCCTCTTGAGGATGGTGAAGTATCCTGGGTCCTGCCACCAGAGAGATGATACATTCTCATGGTGATCCCAGGCCCTACCACCCAAGAACAGCCTTTTGGTGCTTCCAAGAACCACACTTCAGCATCAACAACAGATATCATCTCTAGGTGAAAGGATAGAGAAAGTCTTTCCAAGCAAACAGAAATAAGAAAGAGCAAGTGTAGCTATTCTAATATCTGGCAGAATATACTTTAAACCAAAACTAGTCAGGAGAGATCAGGAAAGATGCTACATATTTATCCAGGGGAAAAAAATGAACCAAGAGGATATTAAAATTCTAAATATTTATGCACCAATCAGAGGGATTCCTATTTTAATAAAAGAAATACTATTAGATCTAAAAGCACAGACTGACACTTCAATGCCACACTCTTAAGTCATCCAGACCAAAACAAAACAAAACAAAAAAACCTTTGGAATCAAATAACCCATAAATCAAATGGACATAATAGACATCTATGAATATTGTTATATTTACAAAGCTAATTCAGCAGCATTTATAAGCAAATATCTTAGCAGCTGTTGCTCCTTCCTCAGCATTCAAACAATTTAAAGAGAGCATAATAACATACAGTATCCAGACTCTCTGTGTATTTTTCATCTTTATGTGGCTTTACTTTAACCTCTATCTCTTTTGTTTTTAGTTTTACTTTTTTAGACAGGTACTCTTTATATCGTTGGCTGTCCTGGAACTCCCTCTGTAGACCAGGATAGCACAGATAGAAAAGAAAGCCAGCTCCCAAGAATGGATTACTTCGTTTGGAACTGTTGGCCAGTGGGATTCTACAGACCCCCAGGTTTCACGCATTATTCACATTGCTTTTGTACTTTCCAGAACTTGATGGTAACATACTATTGCTGAAGACAACAGATAAGAAAACCAAGCAGGCACTAACCTAGAAGCCTAATCCCTACTGGGTAGCTTTCATACTGCTGGGAGGTGCTAGATATGCTACCAAGGCAGAAAAGTAACTCTTAATCCCACCCAGCTGGGAACCATGCAAGCTACAATAGGATCTAGGCTGGCACAAAAAGACACAAACATGGAAGCAACCAAATACTTTCTGATTAGATTTAAGACTGACTCCACAAGACGGAGCCAATAACCTGTAGCTAGATAGGACTTGGAACCCAAGAGAGATCATACTATTGTTCTGTTAAATGCACATGCTATAAAATGGGTCATTAATGACATTGATATGCCCATTCTAAACTCATCTGAGAAGTTTCTTCCTGCTGTAGATGGTGATTAATGTGGTGTACTGGCTGAATTTGTGTGTCAACTTGACATTAGCTAGAGTCATCAGACAGGAAGAAGCCTCAGTTGAGGAAACACTACATAATATCTAGCTGTAAGGCATTTTCTCAACTGGTGATGAATTGTGAAGGGCCCAGCCCATGATGGATGGTGCCATCCCTGTTCTGGTGGTCCTGGGTTCAATCTATAAGACAGCAGGCAGAGCAAGCCAGAGGAAGCAAGCCAGTAAACAGTATACCTCATGGCCTCTGCATCAGTTCCTGCCTCTAAGATACTGCTACGTTTGAGTTCCTGTCCTGACTTCCTTCAATAATCAACAGCAATATGGAAGGGTAAGCCAAATAAACCCTTTCCTACCCAACTTGCTTTTCTGTCATGGCATTTTATGACAGCAGTAGAAACTATAATTAAGACACATGGATACCCACAATTAGTCAACAAGTAGAGAATAAGAGACGGAGGAGTGCCTAGACCTAAATGGGATCTCCCTATCTCACCCTCTTCTCTAAGGCTTAGGGATCATAGTAGAGCAGGGGATTAGGGGGCAGAAAGAGTAAGAGCCAGAGGTGGGGGATGAGTATAGCTAAACAGTGTTTTCCAGATGCAGTGTCATAGCTGCACATATGAACAGCACACAAACATTCTGCACATGCACAAGCTGACAAAATCTCCACATGGAGGGAAAGGTGAGCAGGAAGGCCATCTTAGCTGAGGAGCTATTGGCAATGACAACTTCTGGGGAAGAGAGCCATTTGTCTTTATGGGTGTGAAAGCTGGTAGGCTGACAAGGCTGAGGGAGTATCATCACAGGGAGGAGTACTTGGGCAGCACAGATGGACAGGACAGACTGAAAACAAAAAAGGACACAAAGTTGGGTGAGTAGGGAGATAAGGGTAGATCTGGGAGGAGTTTGGGGAAGGCAGTAAATATGTGCAAAATATATTATATGAAATTACCAAAGAATTAGTAAAATATTATTTAAAAACAAATAGGAAATTGAAAATTTTTAAATTTTTTTTTAAATTTATTTATTTATTAAAGATTTCTGCCTCCTCCCCACAACCGCTTCCCATTTCCCTCCCCCTCCCCCGATCAAGTCCCCTTAACTAATCTCCCACACTCTGCTCCTAAGAATTCCTAATGTTGAGCTGACAGAATGTGCTTTAACTCTGGAAATCAAAACTCATCATGGATTAGCAACTCATCTTTGCAACTTCCATAGCTACCTGATCATTCTGTGGAGATTTTAGTTACAGAGTATATATAACTTACATATATGTATAAAGATAAAAATAGAAATACGAATAATGGTATTCATAAGCCATATCTAAAAATGGGTATTTCCTTATGCAAAGAAATCAGATTGTATTTTGTTGCTTAATAAAAATTGCTTTGTGTAATAGAAATGCTATAAAGGTTAGTACTTCTATAAAAAGCAGATTAGGCATAAGGGAAATTCTAAGACAGAATAGGAAATAGACTCAAAGATAAGTTAATGTCAGCAACTACAGAGAGGTAAAAGATCCTTTAGAATCAGATTGCTATTAAACTTGGACACTCAAGATGAAGAGGCAGAGCTTTGGCAACAGAATTCACAGACAGACTGACTGACTCAGAGACAGTTTGACAACTGCCAACATGACTGTTGGGAGTATTTCCAAAGAGCCAAAGGCTGGGATTACCATCCAATGCCTGGCATTCTGACACTTGCATTTGAAGCTTTCTCTATTACTCTTCATCCAATATTTGTGTTTGGCTCAAAAACAGCAAGGATTCACATTTTTTTTATATCATTAAATGTTCTTATTTTCAAGAAATATAATGTTAGTTGTAAAAGAGCACACTTTTTTTTCTGTGAAATATGAAGAAATTTTGATGAATTGCTTTACATTCAAATAAAAAAAATCAGTGTTGAGGTCTGTCTGAAATTTTCTTTCTTTTTTTTTTTTAAGATTTTTATTTATCATGTATATAGGTTTCTTCCTTCATGTATCCTGCAGTACAGAAGAGGACACCAGATCCTATAAGGTTATTTATAAGCTATGAAATATATATCCATATATATACTCATAATACAATTCAGTGTTCCATATTGTGGTAAGTTCTTCTAGTCCTTCGCATGGCTTTTTTTTTTTTTTTCTTGATCGTCATATGGCCCAGAAGCCCTACTGGAATAAGTCAGCCCCTGTGATGGGATCAAAGATAGTGAAATCTGGCTGTAAGAAGCAGTTATGTAACTATTCCCTTAAGCTAACAGGAAAGCAGGAGGTGAAGATGACTTGCTAAGGAACATGGGCACTGGCTAAGTGCGTATTCTCAGGACAATGCCCACTGAATACAACTTCTAACAATCATTAGGAGTTAAGTCAGATGGAGAACTTAAAATTATACATACACATTTCCCCAAGAAAAGCTTACCTTTGGGTCTCTAAGGAACAGAGCTTTAAGGATCAGTGAGTGTATGTCTCCGATGAGTGGATAATGCATCAGAAGGCCGAGGCAGGTCTGGTAGTTACTAGAAATTACTAAATAAGAGAGAAAAAGGATTCAGACACAATATTGTTTGTATGGTGGATATAAGAAAATAACTGAGAGTCAAAGCAAGTGATGCAGTAACTCAGGTGATTTAACAGAAGTCTGTCTGAGGAGAGTTCTTTCTCAAATGCTCTCTGGATCAGTGCATCTCACCTACAATCTAACACAGGTACCAGTCGAAGAAAGAGGGACAGACCCAGTCCTGGGTATTTGCACCATAAATAGATTCTTAAAAATATGTTGTCATTCACATAGATAGCTACCTTTAGCTTTGCTGCTGAGAAATTAGTAACAAGAACCTTGTAAATGGGGAAGCAGTTGAATGTTCTAATATAATAGCACTCACCTTGGTCGCTATGCTTCATAGTTCACACCATGCTCTCATCCTCTTATATGAGTATCACACAACTTAAAACTAAAAATACAATTTTCTACAATTATTGGTTTTTCCAAAAGTAAGAAGAAATTTAGGACTATCTATACAGGATTTCTTTGGGGAGGAAAGTGAAAATCTTCCATGATCAGCTTTCATTCTGCAAGCTGTTTTCAAATCAACCTAATTATGGGTACAATTATTAAACACACCTTTTAAGACCGGTCTGTGTAAACTATTCCATTTCTTATCTGTCTGTTACTGTAGTTATAGCTGGCCCATTAGGGACACCTGTTTTGTGAACTGCAATGACTGCAAGATGACTGTGTGAAAATTTTCTATAGTTGTAACTAAACCTTATTTATTAATACATTACTTGAAAAATGTCCCACAGGAAAATAACTTTCATTTAAGGGAAATAAGACAAATAAAATATTGATTATAATCAGGAAAATCTTGATCTTTAGATTTTTTTTTCCTGCTGCTGAAAAAGATACTTCTTGAGGAAGCTCTCTACCATGCTCCCTCCTGAGAGCACTGTGGGAAGGAGACTGGATCGGGCAGAATGAGGAATCCTACGCTGTGTATGGAACTGCTTTATCTTCTTCATTTCCACTGCTGGTCTGACAGCTTGTAATTTCACACATCTGCCTTCATTTGTAGAGCGCTCACTTACCCTACCTGCTCTCTGTCTCTGCAGACTCCCCTTATTTGTTCATTTCTCCACATTCACATTCCCTTCCCCATTGCCATTTTTTATCTGGAAACTTAAAAAGCTAGGATATAGTAGTACAACGTTTTAATGTGCAGTTTTCATTTAAGGTGAAGAAGTTTAAAAAAAAAAAACCAGGCAATCAGTTGATCGGTAATTCAAAAAGCTATTTTCTCAAATGCTCTAATGATAACTTTAGTACCTGGACAGGAAATTACATTTACACATTTTGTAAGAGAGGCAGAGAGGTCTGTGGAACATATTTTGGCTGCAGTGCTCAAACTTGAATCTAGGGGTCCTATATGAGTCTTCTTTAAAGTGGCCTGAAGTGACACTTGACGTCTGTTAGGAACCTCTTTAACAACTTTCCGATTTGATAAAACTGCTCGCATCATGCCATGCAATGACTCATTAAGGGACTGCTCTGAAATGGTCCCAAGCTAACACAGGACACAGAAGCCAACAACGAACAAGCCCTTGTTCTGGAGACAATCCATGGCATAAAGGCAACAACGATCTCACTGAGATGATGAATTCTAAAGGCTTTGGGTCAAGAACACAGGCTCAGAACTTATCTCATGTTATATACACATAGGATATTTCCCCTTGTATTACACATACAAAGGATGATACCTGGAGAGGGTAAATCACTTTCTCAAATCACACAGTGATTCCTTGGTGTAGCATGATTTGAAATTCAGGGTCTGTACTCTACGTAGTTATATAAAGTTGTTTAAAAAATATTGCTTTGAAATCAAATGATACGATGCATACAAATATCAACACTAAGTCTTTTAACATCATTACTCTAATACGATAGCTTAAGTACCCTGAAAGGTCAATCTTATTGAGTCTCTAGAATAGTTGTATATAACAGGGCATTATTTGGAAGGACTAGCACAATAATGCTGTTAACATACCTTTGACATTATGAGAATCTACAAAGTGTAGAAAGCATGACAATAACATGTTAAGATTATCCTTGGAGGACACATGAAGATGCTAGCAATGTTCTCGTGCATCTATTCATACACATCTATTCATACACTATTACATCTATGTACTATATACATCTATTCATACACATCTATTCATACACTATTACATCTATGTACTATATACATTTATTCATACACATCTATTCATACACTATTACATCTATGTACTATATACATCTATTCATACACATCTCACTCAACACTTTCTGAGCATCACTACATGCTGATCCTCAGACTACTGATATACCAAAACTAAGGCTGTAACAGCAGGGAAGACTTTCAACTCATACCATATTCAAGTTACTACTGAAAAATCTGCATTGTTCATCTGAACTTAAGTCCCACTTGGATAACTATGCCCAATTTATGGCATGTAAAAAAAATACAGAAGCTTGTTTAAGACAAGGTTGCGGGAATCTGACACACTAAGAGTTTAGTTCTGCTCCTTCTTTACCCCCTCCTCCCCTAGCTCTCATGTTCCCTGCTTCCTTTTCATAGCATGTGGTGTTGAACCTAGGACTTCATACATGCTAGGCAAGCACTCTACCTCTAAACTACATCCCCAGAAGTTTTGCTCTTTATAGTAATTTTTTTGTTTAATACAAAAGATGAACGCAGTATTTTTCCTTATCCAGTGCTTATTCTACCAAAGCAGGTTGCAGTGACATGGCTAATTTTAACCTTCCCTGAACCAGCTCTTCTCAGTGTCACTTAAGTATTTTGCTTTTAAAGCACAATGACGCATTAACACATTTTGTTCAAATGCACTCACTGCACTTTTTATTAATTTACTTTCCAGGGTTTTTTTTTGTTTATGTTTTTGCCGTATCACTAACCAGCTTATACCACCTGGCCTTAAACTCACAGAAACCCACATGTTTACAACTCTGGAGTGTTGGGATTAAAGGCATGCACCATCATACCTGATCACAAAAAAAAAAATGCTCTTCTTGTATGCACACTGGTAAAAGAAAAAAAAAAGCCACAAAGAGCTTTCCTAGAACTCTTTGAGCTACGTATCTTCTAATAGTACACAGACTTCTTTGAGGAAGTGCCAATAATACCAAAGAAGCCTCTGTACCTTTGCTGTCTCCCTGTCACCCCTTGTGCCCAGCATCTGTGTAGTTAAGTGTACCCAGGCTGTCACCCTAGTCTATCTAGAATGTCTCTAGCGAGGGGCACAGAAACTGTCTTTCTCAGTGTCTCCATCAAGCAGTACCGGTTTCACACAGAGTAAAGCTGACTTAGCTGTCTCTGTCTTTAAGTGGCCCCAACTATTCTAAAGTGGTCTGAAGAAATTGGGCTGTATAGCTTTCCCTGGAGAAATAATAACAAATACAGTCAAATCAGTAAATCTAAGCAGAGATGTGATCACACAGAGAAATTTGAAAGCAACATAAATAAATACATATGTATAACTCACTGCTGGCTACCTATAACTAACATTTATGAATATTTTTCTCCAAATTATTCAATTTTGTATGGAGACACAATTTCTCAGAGTAACAAGGCAGATGGAAAATTACCAAAAACCAAAACGGCTTCCTGGAATGTCCTTAAATTCAGAATAACAGCTACCCCCTCAGGTACCGACAGCGTGACCGGAAACCTGCCATCATTGGATGTCCATCCCATAACAACCCATGATCTCTAGAAAAGCAGCCTGCCCATGCACTCCCTTCCACAGATGAGACATGGTGCTGCAGAGTAAACAGCAATACACCCAGGCCAAGGGCTCCTGACAGTCTGCTGAAATGAAACCCTTGGCCTTCACTGGTGTCCAATGTTTTCCTCCACTTTTAGCAGACAGCATTATGACAAGGGTGTCTATATATAGGAGAAAAAGAAGACACATTGCAGATGGCTTCTAAAAACTGTTTCAACTTCAGAGAATCCACAAATAGACACTAAAAAATGTCCTTAACATATAAAAGCCAGGTGCAGCAAGTATTTGAAAACTGGCATAAGAACTTATATTTATATATGGATTTGGCATACAGAACAAATAATCAAAGACCTCATATAAAACTAAAAACAATGGGGACTGGAGAGATGTCTCAGTAGTTAGGAACCCTTACTAATATTGCAGTAGACAGTACCCACATTAAGTGGCTTACAAATTCTTGTAACTCTATCTCCAGAGAACCTATTGCCTTTGGCCTCTGTGGACACCTGAACTCAGGCGCTCGTGCATGCGTGCACACACGCACGCACGCATACACACATACATACATACACACACAATCAGCCAAGTCCTTTTAATATTGCTCATATATATAGGTATTTAGGGCTGACCACATGGGACATTTTTTATTTCATTGTGGTTACTGGGTCTTAATAATACTTTAGTCAGGAATAACGACTGTCCGAGGAAATAGATAGAATATGGATTATATTTTAGATGTGCAAAAAGGGAAGGGCCTTGCTACCATTTCTGATGACTTGATGTTGAACCCTGGGATAAACATGGTGGAAGGAGAGAAGTAAGGAGAGAAGAGAACTGTACTGTTGACCTCCTGATATATGACATGGTATACATGTGTATGCAGATAAACACAGACAGACAGACAGACACACACAAACATATACATATGAAATATTTTAAAATAAGTGCTAACAGCATCATTTTCTTGTAGTTAGATTTGTGTATTCATTCATTCATTCATTTATTCAACAAATATTAATTTAACTCCTGTTTGGTTTTTTAAAATACTGAGTTCAATTCTAAGAACAGTCTCAAATTTCTCTTCATATTCACTGGAAGTGAAGAATAGTGTTTGCAACAAAGAACCTGGCTGGTAATGGTGTAAGGATTGGGATAACTCCTTAAATAGAAATGTGTTGTAGGCCAGGGCTACCACCATCAATACTGCAGGCAAACAGAGGTATAGTACTGAGTGGACACTG